CTCCAGAAAGGTTTTTATAAAGTTTAATATATTAACTATATCATTTTCTGTAGTTCGGCTTTTTGGAAAGTTTGGTTTAAATGATCGTCAGAAAGAGTTGTGAAAGATTTTATATTAAAAAATCAATAATATTTAATATATTCATAATATAAGAATTTTGTAATATTACTTTTATATTAGAATCTAATAATATTCTTATATTCATTCAAATATAGTATTAGTTTGTTAATATAATGTGATATATAAATAATATAAATACTAAATTATAATAATTTAATAATAATTTTTAATGCAAGTTTCTTATTAAAATAAATTAATACATAGTACATATTTATTTCATATTAATTTTTACTTAATTTTTATTAAATGGATTCGTATGTAGCAAAACTATGCTTAGAGTATATATAATACATATACATATGAACCCATTTAATATTACTAGTTTAAACTTAATTGGTCTGATTGTAGTGATGAGATTAAGATAACAAATAAAAATAGAATGAGCTGATATTTGCATCTGTTTTAACCATTTATTAATTATTACTAATATAATAGGCTTAAAATTCTTTCAACATTTTCTCGCTTTGAATAGATAAGCTTATTGTTAGAACTTTATATGGATTTCCAAGTACATAAAATAACATATCTAACTTTTTAATTTTGGTTATTAAACTAAAGATTTGTTATATAATGTCCCATAAGAGTTCATATGTTTTAAAATTTTAACAACTCTAACAACTTTTATCACTTTTCAAGAACAAATAACATTATTAATATTAAAAGTATAAGGACCAACTTAGACAGTATCCTACTAGAAAAAGCTAAGATTGTAGAAGAAAAAACTTTTGGTTGATGGTATATAAAAAAATACAACAATGCTATATAAGAAACAAAAAGATAACCTTGCTTGAGAAGAATTAGAGTGGTATGCAAAATTAATGTGTAAATTAATATGAGTTATAACCCTATATATAAAAATCTTGGAATGTGCATGTTCAAAGTATCCTTAAGACTATATGGACATTATAGATAAAGATATTATAGTTGTCTAACATAACTAATTGATATATGTATATTTAAGGAATTGTTATGATTTTTAATCATGTTCTTAACTTGATTCTCAACATATTAATATGTGCTCAATTACTCTGGTTAAAATTAACTTGTTTAATAGCATAATTTAAATAACACATGTTATGTTTATGAAGTCATATAATAATGTTGAATATTGAATTGAATAACACATTGAGTAGTATTCAAATTATGCCATTTGACAAATTATAGTCGATTCTGGATATAATGAATCTTTTTATAATAAACATACTTTATAACAAACTTTTTAAAAAAATTTATTATAGAGTTTAGTATAAGGAACTTTCGAAAATTTTTTACTATAAAAACCATCAGTTTATTATAAAGAGAGCTGACTGTAATTTTAACTAGTGTACTTGACACAGAATCCTCTTACTATAAAGTCTCTGATATAATGTCAAATAAATTTTAATTATTGTATATTGATTGCTTTTGCTATTAGATTTGTATTCATTTTGAATAGACCTGATGATAGTGACCCATATAAACATTTAAGTAGCATTGAATATCTTTTTTTGAAATTAGTAATTTTTATCATACACACATCATCATTCTGAGATTAGATTCTCAGATTTTTGTAAGATAGCAATCACATACATTTTGTCTATTTATCGCTATAACATTACTGTATCCTATTTCATCTAAAAGCCAAAAATTATGTACTACCACTACTACCAGATTGTGAAATTATTCAAAACAGTTAGATTGATATTCTTCTTATAGTAATTATGTGAAGCATAGTCATGCCAATAGATATGGAACATCTTAATTATTTTATATGAATCATAATTCACGATATACACTACAAGTTGTATATATTATAAACTTTAAAACATAAATTTGTTTACAAAAAAAGTATTATCATGGTTAAAATCTTGAACTATATGTACATCATGAGAAATATTACTAAGTAGAATAAGATTATAATCATCGGTAAGTTTTATATATGAACAATTATGAATATAAAGTTTTGTTGATATTTTTGAATATTTAAATTAAAACCAATTTACTAATGCAAGTTCATATTTTTGATTATTATAAGTTATAAGTTTGATAATTAATAAAATTTATAAAAAAATAGTAATTATTTAGTTATTTAAAATATTATATATATTATTATTTTTATTAAATTGTACCGAAATACTTACTTTTGTATAACTATATCCATTGTCATTTACATACAGTTGCTGTTCTTCTTTATTCAATTCTACTGCAATATTACTATAGTATGGCATTTTATAATATGAAGGTGAGGCTCTGATTATTATATCAGATTTAAGTTTGGCATTTTTAAAAACTTCAATTTGAATATTTATATTTTGTAAATCTTTAAAATTCGATAAAAAATCTTCAATACATTCTTGAAGATGTTTAAAACCTTGCATTGTTTCTTGTAGTATAGTTTTATCAGATTTTAATTGCGAAATTATATAGTTAATATTATATAATTGTACACTATACCAAGATTTTTTGTCAATGATAAAGTTTTCATTATATTGAAAACATTTTAATTTTTTTTGTTGTAAAGGTATATACAAAATTTCTCAATGCCGAATCTATAAAAAATTAAATAGTTACTATGTAATTAAACATTTTATAATATCAATATATAAATTTATTACCATACTAAGAAGTTGATTATCAATATTCTTTTTATTTGTTAAACTATATAATTGTTTAACATAAATTTTGTGTAAAGTTTCATATGTTTCACTAGTCATTCCATTAATTTTACCAAAGTTTTTAATTGATGAAATTGTATGATAAATCTATGAATAAAATTTTGGTAATTTCAAATTTGAAGAAGAATATTTTGTAAATAACTATTTAAAATCATTTGCCCATTCATTAATACTTTTCTAAAATAAATATATAATTAATTAATTTAATTTAAAAAATATATAATTATAAATTTTAAAAATACCTTAAATATTACAAGATCAATATCATTTAATTCATCACATCTAGTCCATAAATACATAATATTCCATTTAACAAATAGCTGACAAATAGTTTTATTAAGATCCAAATCAGAATCAATAAGTCCATTAAGTATAAAAACAAATATTTTTATCATATCTCTATAATTTGATGCTGTAAATTGTGAAATATTGCTTATTCCATGTTTAAAAATATGTAAATTATGAAATCGTGATATTTGGGCTAAACGTTTATCTAATTCTTGTAAAATAGACTTTCCTATTTAATCTTTTAATAAACTACAAGTAAATTCAACTTGGTATTTAAAAAGTCCAAAATCAAGATGATGCATGCGATCTGGAATAGTTGCACTATATATATTAAAAGTTTGATGATTCCAAAATGCATTATCTATATTATGTACTGAATAGTTCTTATATAAATTTTTTTATAAAATCTCTTTTATATTAATTTCAGTACGTAATATAATATTTTTTTCTAAATTAGTATTATTAAGATCATCTTTTTTAACTAGACAAAAGTAACAAGGATATTGAGCTTTTGATAAAAAATATGTCAAACAATACATACTGTTACAAAGTAGATTTTTAGCATAGCATAGTATATTATATTATTAGTAGTTGTTATATATTTATTCTTGTAT